TAATGGTGGTTGGTAGTGATGATCAAGACTGGTTTCAGATGTCTTATCTTGTAGGATCAGTTGCTAATACGGGTCTTGGTGAAAAATCTGTCATGGAAAAGTGGAGCTTCATGCCAAAGAAGAAGAAACAGAAGCTTGAACAGAGATGGAGAGCGTTGCATTTGGATGGACTTGGATTTATGTTGCGCAAGACGGAACTTGTTCGTGAGGTAACCTCTGCCATAGCTGAAGCTATGAATCTCTGATTCGTCTATCAGATTTTTCAGTTGGTTATCGAGTTTATCACTTTATCTTATGACATATCTGGTTTTCTTTTGGATATTTTTCTGTCTACCGTTTTCGTTATCTAGTTTATCTTAAGACTTTCCTCTGTTTTAGATGGTTGTTTCTATGTGTTTATGTTAAGAATACTATTTTTATGTTTTGGATGTTTGTTTCTATGATGAGTTTATCTTAAGAGTAGTCTCTGTTTTGGATGGTTGTTTCTATAAGATGGTCCATTGTGGTTTCATATTCTTTACCTTAGAAACAAATGTGGTTATATCATCTGACTTAATCGGCTCGGTAGTTTGCGATCTTTCCAGCCATTTTGCTTAAGCCTTTAAACAACGAGTGTTGGGATCGGATTTCACCCGCTCAACGTCAATGTTCAAAGTTTGGTTAACATAACAAATGTACATTGAATCACGTTAACATCTAGAAAATATATGGTTTCTAAATCATTTCTAGACAAGTGTTCTCCGATCCTAACTCCTCTCCGCTTGCAAGACGAAGTCTTCTCCGCCTGCGAGGCGAAGTCTTCTAAGTCTTGCTTTCATGCAGAAGAAAGGATCAACACAGMGACCACCGATGACTTTGATAGGGTGACACCGAACACTCTGGCAGAGATGCCACCGAAGACCCCTGCTTTCGCCTCGCAGGAAAGATCATGTCTTACTCTCACGGGAAAGATCATATCTTCGCTCCGCAAGAAAGACCCGAAGACTTCCTGTGTTGGGCTTCAGCCCGAAGCCAGTTAACAAGACAAGCCCAGATATCTCCGGAAGATAAGCATAGCAGTTCTGAAGCGACGTCGGAACGACCGCGGGAGCTTGGAGTCTCAACGCTGAAATCCAGTCCAGTTGCAAAGCCCACTTCGGCGCAACCAACATGGACAAAAAGGAAATCCGCGAAGACTTAGGAAACTTAACATAATCCTTTATGGAAAACCTAGCCGACGGAGGAACACTATGTCGATGTATAAACCCTTGTAAAGGTATCCGCAACTTTGTTCACAAAAGCATACACAGCAATAACAAAAACTTTTCTTAGGTCTTGTTGTCTTCATAGCTTAACCTAAAAATCTCTGCTTCCTCACGAAACCCTTACAAATATAATTGTGATAGTCTTGGCTCCCACAATTTGGCGCCGTCTAAGGGGAGCTTGAGAATTTCTAACACAAAAAGCTAGGTTCCACACAAGATCTGGGAAGATGAACGACGAAGAGAACAAATCAAGCAACAGCGCCGAGGAGTCCCCGTCTCACAGAACCAACCAAGAGGATGAGAACTCCGTCGAAGCTCCTGCTAACAACGACGCTGCTAACCCTAGAGACATGACCGAGGTCAAACAGATGCTGCAAACGCTCCTGAAAGAGTCCAACGAGCAGAAGAAGTTCAACGAGGCAACTACGAATGAGCTGAAGGCTCTTTCGCGAAGGAAGCGCGAAAAACCTGACACAACTAGACTCAGGGGTTGCTTCGACTCGCGTCGCCTTAACTTCTCCACACAGCGTGCTGCTCAAAGGGATCCGGGCGACTTGCCGCCACCACCGCCACGACGGGAATCTGACAGAACTCCAGAGCGCATCGAGGAGATCTCGGACGAGGGTCGACCAACTCCTCGAAGGCGTGCGCGAACAGACAATACAGGTGGTAACTCACGTGATTCGCGCGCTTCAGATAGTCGGACTGCATCTTCGTATTCTTGGACGGAAACCATGCAATACAAGAGGGAGCAAGAGCGCAGGACACTAAAGCAGTCTCAAGACGCGGAGATCGCTACGATAAAGGATCAGATGGAGCGGGTCATCTCCGACCTGAAGACTACCCAATCACAGATGTACTGTGGCTCGGGGAAGGCTCCTGGGGTTGCCTATGTGCTCGAGAAGGCACGGAACACACCCTTCGTTGAGAGGATTGCGAGGGCTAAAATCTCTGATACCGGAAGAATC